TGTGTCTTTTCAGCAATAATTATTAATTTTCACAAATGAAAATATTCCCAGACAAGAATCTGTTCACTATAACTGATCACAAGTAGCCTTTAACAAAATCTTTCCTTCGAAATAGAATTCTTAGCCTGACGAATTCGAAGCGTACCGTCTTTCAAGCCGATTTACACCTTGCGTACTTTTGACAGAAATCTACGGCGACCAGTTAGTGCAATATTTATATCCGAATGTATTTAATTTAATATACTTGTCCATCTCAAATGTATATATAAGTAATGAATAACAAGTTTATAAACTTCAATGGAAATTGAAGTGGGTTGGTATGTGATCAAATCTTCTGAGAAGGCCTTCAGCAGGAATTAAGCAAAAATTGTGGCATAAATCATGTCACATGTCAGTTTTTTATTGGTTTTTTATATTCATTTCTTTCTCTAACTAAGGATGTTTTATTCCGACTGGGTTATACCTTATGCAATTCTATTGTAACTGAACATTGTACTATGTTTATTTGAAAGTAGTATGACTCATTCTAACCGAGGATATGTTATTCCAAACAGAGTATACTTTGAACAAAAAAAAATTAATTTTGTTGAATACAAAAGAAAAAAAAACTTCACTGTTAATATAATAATAACCATGGCATGTATAAGTGAATACATGTGCCGCAAACCATGTACAGTGTGTAATATTCAGAATGCATGTATTTGAGCGAAAAGAAATTTTTTGTGTGTTTCATTTACTGCCCACTTAAAATAAAATAACTAAGCCAAATATCTTTCAGTCAGAATTTTTGGTCATTTTTGTAGGTTTGGTGTGTGTGTTATGCTAACATGCAATTTGTCTTTATCTTGTTTGATTGTTAACATTGAATGTCAATTTTTATGTATATATTAAAAATTGTTTTATTTGACCTTTAGAAAAATCACTTCTGCACGTGTTTGTAATTTCTCAAACTTGACATCTCTCTCCGTTCCAGGGTATCAATGTTATTAGCTCATAATTTTCAGATTGACTTATGGTTAGTTCTTAGACTGATGTTTCTTTGAATTTGTTATGCTCACTCAGTTTGTTTCCTGTTTTATAAATTAATGTCATTGAGTTTTCCGTCAATATTACTACTGTCTTGTAAAATGAAACTTGTTTCATTGGTTCGTTTATGAAAAGTGGAAATGCGTAAATTTGTCTGTAATTCACTCTAACTTTTGCAAATTTTGTGTTAAAATGTAGTTATTGTACAATTTGGACTTGAATAAATTCTAGATTGAAACAAGGAATTATCATTAAAAAAACATATTACTAAGCAAACTTATTAAAAACTGTAGTAAAAAAGGTAACCATGTCTCAGGAATTTAATGTTTTAAAAACATCAAATCAGATTTGGGGATTAAATGATGAAACAATATACAATTATTAACTTTTGATAAGGTCTTCTCGTGATTATACAGACCTGGTCAGGTATTGGTTGACCGAGGCCGAAGGCCGAGGATAACCAATACCTGACCAGGTCTGTATAGTACAATTTATCATTCAAAAGTCAATCAACCGTTTTATTAAATGATGAGGAATTTTAAAACACTGCTGACTCTTTCATTCTTGTCTCCATCAAATATAAACATCCATAATGTAAAGTGTAATTACACTTTTTACATGTTGATATACTTCAACAGCTAACAAATATTAGTTAAAAAGTTAAAAACAATATAAATAAACAATAAATACTCAACCATTTACTTTTTAAAGTTCGTAATCTCCTTGGTAATGGCGTCTGACATGTTTACATTCACAAAAGACCTGTCAAGACCTGTTCCAAATTTGACCTCCTTTGTATGCGAGCGGATCTAACATCTAATTTTTACTAGATTGTCATTGAATCAAATGCTGACTGACGTTTTTCATGCTAATTGTTGGTCCATTGTTTGTACACTGAGTTGAGGACGGATCTTTCCGTTGTTTCCCGGTAGTGACAAGAAGCACACGGTGGGTGTGACAGGTCGGCAAAGGATGCCCACTCCCCCATGGCGCCTGGTCCCACCTCTGATGTTTTGGAGGTCTGTGCATGCTCTGCTCCTGTTTTATATTGTTAATGGAATATTGATCTTGAATACTGTTTGTCATCTCAATATTTTTCATATGTAAACAAGATATGTTTGTGATGCACTATGCACCCAACGGCAGCAAAGTTCGAAAAAAAAGCTATTTTTAGCATATAGGTCACAGACAAGATGAGAAGGCCATTCACCTTGGTTTCATTTGAAAAAAATATGTTTAGTGTAGCATGCATACCAAATATGAAATCTCTATCTTTCATGGTACAAAAGTTTGGTGAAGGCTAAAAAAAGGAATTTTTAGCATAAAGGTCACAGTCAAGGTCTCAAGGTCATGACCTTAAAATCATTTGAAAGAACTTAATTACTAGAGTATGCATACCAAACATGAAGTCTCTATCTTTCAAGGTTCAAAAGTTATGGCGATGGTTAGCAGAACACAGGTTATTTTTAGCATATAGGCCACAATTAAGGTCACAATGTCATTGACTTTGGATTCATTTGAAAGAGCTTTACTAGTGGAGTATGCACACTAAATATGAAGTCTTTATCTTTCATGTTTCAAAAACCATGGCGAAAGTTAAAGTTTGCAGACAAACAGACGGTCAGACAGACAGACAGGACAAAAGCAATATAAACCACGGATTTATCGATCAGAGCGCATAAAAATGACACTGATCACCTCAATGATACAAAAAAATTATACATATATGCCTGTATATTCACCAGAACGTACTGATCTATAAATCTTCTTCAATTAAAAAAAAATAATCAAGGATTATTATTTGCGGTTCTCACAACCGCAATACAGTTTTTATTAGCAATATGCGTAGCTCTTGTACATGTTCATATATTTACAAGCTAACAAATTATCTAATCACTGTTTAAAAGCAAAATATGATGAACTCAAGACTATTCCATAATATACAATTATGGACTGTTTAGAAGGGAGACATCTCCAAATATTAGGCATGAGTAGGGTTGTTACCCATGTTCCCTTGCACCCGAGGGTGACAACCCTACTCAGACCTAATAATTGGTGATGTCTCCCTTCTGAGCACTCCAAAAAAGTTTTATTATCCTGAAGAACCTAAATTATCAATTAAAAAGAGTAAAAATAATTATCAAATTCTTGTGTTCTCCTACTTTGCGCTGATTCCATTCTTTCAAGATATGTCAACAGACAACTTTGACGGCATCATTTAAATTTATTGTTTACAGATCCCGTATATATTTACATGTAGCAATCAATGTACATGCATAATTATAAATAAGAGTTATCTCGCTTAAACCCTTGTATTTTCGTTCAAAAGGCGAAAACACAGTTGTAACCCTGCATGATCGCTTGCGCTATTGTATTGTCATATGAAGTGTAACAACAGTTGTCACCCTGCGCGTGAGGGTAACATCACAAATTGTCACACCTTACGTGACATTCTCTAAACCAATCAGATTGACTGTATAATTCTTAAGGATAATAACACAGTGTATATGAGCAATACTATGAACATATATATTGAGAGTTTATGCATACAATATTGAAGAGCAAAAAATATAATGAGTTCAAGTGGAAATCCTACTCATACTCATACTTCCATTTCTAAGGAAAAAAAATTATAAAATAATATTTCAGCTTTGAACATTTTCAATATTCCGCAAAATGCCAAAATAAATTTTAACTATCTTATATATTGGATTCTGAAACTTAATAAGAATCCTTAGAAACAAAGATACATGGTGTCCTCCAGTAAATGTTCAACCAAGCTCCGCACTTAGATATTGACAGTAGGGAAGGAAAAACGTCAAGAGTACTGTGCAACTACATGCATATATTATATTCAAGAAGTGGAGTGAATTAGATGTGGATAATAAAAATTTCAAAGAACTTTTGGACAATTTGAAATCACAAAATTTCACCAAAATCAACAGCTTCAAAACTTACGACTTTTCAACTTGATACACAACCATTCCTCACAATCAATTAAAATCCAGGCTTTTTGATCTCAAAAAGCTTTTTTCAATAAGAATGGAACTCGTAAATTTACTAACCTTGTCATTTGCAAAATTATTTTGTTCAGAAAGATTCTGATTGCACACACAAGTACTCTGAAGTTGACATGAAGAAGATGCTTGAGTTTCTGATTGACAATGTCTATGTTGTTTTTGGAGACCAGATCTTCCAACAATCTATTGAAATTCCTATTAAAAAATAATTGCGCTCCGTTATTAGCAGACCTATTTTTGTATTCATACATGTATGAAGCAGAATTTATGCAAAGTCTTATGCGTGAAAAGAAGAAAACACTTGCTATGGCCTTCAATTCGACCTTCAGATATATCAACGACGTATTGACAATTAACAATGGTAATTTTCATTCCTACGTCGATACGATATATCTTGGAGAGCTCGAGATGAAAGATACCACTGAGTCTGACACTTCTGTTTTATATTTGGATATTTTACTTGAAATGCCGTTAATGGTAACCTAACAACTAAGTTATATGATAAACATGACGACTTTAACTTTTCTATTGTCAACTTTACCTTACGTATGCAGCAATAAAGCTTCATCACCTGCATACGGAGTGTATAAATCTAAATGATTCGATACGCAAGAGCATGCTCTACGTATGAAGAATTTCTAAAAGAAAGGTTAATTATTGGCAAGCAAACTGAAGTAACAAGAATTTCAACAGTCTCGTTTAAAGTCATCATTTCGTAAATTCTGTGGTCGATACAATGACCTTGTCAGCAAATACAATTTATCACTGAGTCAAATGCTGACTGACGTTTTACCAATTGTTAGACCGTTCTTGATACACTGAATTGACGACCTATTTTTCCGTTATTTCATGATCATGACGATAAGTACACGGTGGGTGTGACCGGTCAGCAGGGGATGCTCACTCCTCTATGGCACCTGATCCCGCCTTTTGGTGTTTCCGAGGTCCGTGTTTGTTCTTCTCCTATTTTGTATTGTTTTATGGACTTTGATATTGAATACTGTTCGTTATCTCCATATCCTTCTTCAAGACTATAAAACAGTTTATAAAAATAGCCCTTTGCTCGTTTAACGAACATTAGTTCATAGTAAATGAATCACGATCTTAATTCTTCTAAATGACAGACACATAGAGACTATGAATTCTTGATGTGCTCTTTTACTCCTTTTCTTAGACCAAAAATTCTTACAATTGAAAATGACTGTTAACTCAGATACAAGTAATTCATAATAAAGCAGCATTTACAATGGTCTTGAACAAGTCTCTGCTATTTTATCCCAGAAAACAATGTTTCCCTGGGGGTCATCAGGATATTCAATATAGGATCTACTTTCTACCAGAGCCAACATTGATAAAGGCAATGTTTTAGTAGAAACATGCCGATACATAATGAGAAACAGAACATCTTTACCACTCCGTGTATATATACTCTCCATTCGTGCCATATTGAATTCAAACATGCACCAGTAAGAGTTAAGAAAATTGTCTGATAGAACTATTATTGTTTTCCGGCTTTTAGTAATGGCTTCTGTGATATTGGCAGCGATTTCAGTACCCGGTCGAAAATCTCTTTTACTGAGGCACAGCTGCAGGCCTCTTAAATTCTCTAGCTGGGCAATTGACTCGTTCACAGCAAAGTCGCCATCCTCTTCAGCGTATGATATGAAAGCATCAAATGTAAACGTGTCTCTCTGCAATGGACTTGATAACCGGTATTTGTTTCTTGTCATGTAATATATATAGCGCAGTTTCCATCGGTAACGGTAAACCAAACCGGTGATGGTTATTACAACAAAGAAAATTATAAGGGAGGATACTAGGAATGTAACCAGCTGATAATTTGTGCAGTACACATCAAGAAATCCTACAGCACTTTGAAGTTCGATGCTAGTTCCATTATCAAGCGTGCATGTGATGTTTTGAAAATCTGATATGTATTTTCGGTTTTGGAAAGACCACTGTATAAACTGTTTTGATTCACATGTGCAAGCAAAGGGATTATACGCAAGAGAAATGGTCATAGAGGTTTTCCTTTTGAATAGTTCCGAAAACGAGATCATAGCCTTTCCATTTAGCTGTCGCAGTAAGTTCCCGGAAAGATCAATTTCTGTTAGGTTCCACATGTGGTGTACGTTTACATTCCATTCCGTCAAGAAATTTGATTTCAGTTTAATTCTATGAATATTTCGTAGGTTCTTGAAGATTTTTACTGGCAAGTTTTGAATTTGGTTGTCAGACAAATCTAACTCTTCAAGATGTACAAGATTTTTAAATGTTTCACCATCTGTGTCGTTTTCCAGGCTTTTCCCTAGAAAATTCTTATTCAGTTTTAGAACTCTCAATGCCTTTGTGTAATCGAAGAAGAATTTGGTCAATGACGGACAATGACATTCAGAAAGATCCCAATATTTTAACTGGTTTAATCCTTGAAGGGGACCAGTAAAGCTTGTTATTGGGTTTTGAGACATGTCAAGGTATGTAATATTATTGTCTGGATGGAATCGTGTTCCAAGAATAGATGTCGTAAAACCATTCCTCCTTAGAATGACCTTTCGTAAATTTCTTGGCAACGATATCTTAGGATCAAAATGTTGAATTGAAAAATTCTTCGACATTTTCTCAAATTTCAGAGAAAATTCGTCCATTGTATTCTTGCACATGCGTACTGGATTCTGACAATAGAACGCGTCCATTATTTCCACAAAGGGAGGGGAAATATACTGAAAAGATGCATCCACTTTTTCTAAGCTTAAGAAAAAATTAATCTCCAGTAAGTAAAGACCTATAGTCAGTCTATTTTTGACAAACGAAATAGTTTTTAGAGAAGGGGGGAAGAACTTAATCACATTCATTTCTACAAGAGCCAATCTGTTGTTCTCTAAAAAGAGCTCTTCAAGGCTTGTGTTTTTAAAGTGTATGATGTCACTGACCTGTAACATAGTTCCTATTCCAAACGTGCAGTGGATTTTGTTGGCTTTGAGCACCTTAATTTTAGAAAACTGTAAACTACGAGAAAGATTTTCAAAACCTGCAAAAGTAAGCCTTTCGTTGTAGGAAATATTCAAAATGGTAAGATTTCTTTGTGTAATGAATGCATCATTTGAAAATGAAGTCACTTTACAAGCAGACACGTCAATGATTTCCAAGTGTGGCATATTTACGAGGAAACTCTTTGTCATTGCTCCTATAGAGCAGAAACCCGTCACACCTGATACGTCCAGTTCTCTCAAAGAAGTCAAGAACCGAAACGGCCGTCCAAATTGTGAGGGAGATACGATATCAATTCTAAGAATCTGAATTGAGGAGAGATACCTCCAGATTCTCTGTGGAAATTTATGGATTCCATTACTTGTACAGTTCTTGATATTAAGTTCACGTAAAGCTTTTAATTCTCGAAAGACTCTTGACCGATAAACACTTTCGTCAAGGTCAAGGTTATTTCCTTCTAAAATCAATGTTTTTAACCGTGTTAAATTTGCGAACGCACCATCCGAAAAATTTTGAATTTTGTTGTAAGATAGATCAAGTTTGTAAAGTGAAGGACTGAAGGATGTTGTCAAAGAAGTGATGTTGTTGTGTTGTAACAGGAGAATGACAACATCGGGTCGAGTTATCGGAACTTGTGTGATTCCCAGATTTGAACAATTTGCAGTGTACAACTTTCTCATGTTCCCAATTGGACTACAGCGGCAGACGGAGTTGCTCGTGCAGTTTCTGCTAAATCCATTCCTTGCAACCATTGCAAAGTCAGCAACCCGAAACAGGAATATCTGAAAATTAAACGTTATGAAAATTAAAAAAAATATAGATTTCTTTTTATTTTTTTTTAATTATTCAACTCAAGCATACATGTAGTTGCGTTTGCTAACGATGGTTTACAACTAATAATCATTTGATGTACATGTGTGAGTTTTCATATTAAGGACAATATACTTGATGATTGTGTTAAAACTTTCTCTGATTTGTATCTTTGTATTCACATGAAGCAGAATTTGTCTAAAATCTTGTTTGTGAAAGAAAAACAGAATGCTTCTTTATCCTTCGACCTTACATATACATGTAGATACGAGTATATCGACGACCAATTTTCGATGAACAATGATCGTTTCCATTCTTATGTCGATACGATATATCCCAATGGGCTAAAATAAAAGATATCACAGAGTCTTCCCCATTTGTTTCATATAGAGAAATTTAACTGGAAAAAGACATTAATGGTAATCTAACAAGTAAGCTTTATGACAAACTAGATGATTTTAACTTTTCATTCGTCATCTTCCACCTGCATACTTGGTTATATATATCTCTCAGTTGTTTCGATACGCAAAAGCATAATCTATGTGATAACACTTTTTAAAACGTGTTTGCTTATTAACAAATATATTGCTAAAAGAATAATTTCAACTGTCTCGTTTTAAGTCATCATTTTCTAAGTATACGTTCTATTGTCGATACAATGACCTTGTCAGTAAAAACAATTTATAATAACCTTACCTGTAACAAGACCTTTTCAAATAAATACTGCGATTGTTTACCCTGTAACCTTAAGTTTGACGTTGAAGTTTGACCTCAATTTGAAAATTTTAAATATTACTTTAAATAGGCCATAACGTTTTAAGGAGAAAAGGTGGGACTTTCATATAACAGATGTGTATTACACTGTACTTAAGACATTGCCTTTTTAGATTCAATATGATTGATTGATTGTATACTGTTTAACGTCCCTCTCCAGAATATTTCACTGATATGGAGACGTAGATTCAATATGATATATGACCTTTTCAAAAATGTTATTTTTCCGTGTAACTCTTGTTTGAAAAAAAATATGGCTTTCATATTTAAAATGTGCATTGTCTATAAAAAGATGTTCCCGAGCACGCTATAAGTCTTGTCCTTTTGACATTCACGTTTGATCTATTTTTCAAAAATATGAAATTTGGGTATTTCGTTCGATAGACATGATAAGGCCAGATAAATGTATTTGACACTTTATCTCATAAAAATGGTATCTTATCAGCTACTTAAGAACCCAAAGCTGGGGATCACAATTTTTGAAATTACTTGTTTGAAATTGTTATGCCGTGGATGAAATCTTGGATTATAAAAATAACTAGAAACGACTCGTTGTAAGCAACGAGAGGTCTTCCGTCCGATTCCGAAGAAAAAAACGTAACTTCGACTGAATAAGTAAATAAAAATTGCAGACAAGGGAGATTGAACCCAAGTCGCCAGCATGAAAATCCAACGCGCTAAATACTACGTTATTGGAACCTCCTCTCTAAATCTAATTGTACATACATCTGCAACAACACTTCTGCCTTAAAATAATGAAAGACCGGTCACTATTCAAAATGTCGTGCCAAACACCACAAGTTAATCTTCGCGCCTTTTCTTTGGAATGTTCTATAAAAAAAAGTGTGTTAGCTTCAATGAAATAATAAAAAAGTTCTTATAGCCTAAAAGAGCTAAAGCCACGAATTATCAATATCCGCCTTTAATTTTAGACAAAATTTAATTTTAAAATCACGAAGCCTTTCATATGTTATCTTGTAGGGCACAATGTCATGGTACGCTACATATAATTTTTTGGCACACAGGCCACCGTCTTTAGCACATGCGCAGAGACAAATATACCTATGAATTTTAAAAACTGCCTAAAAACGCCGATTTTACTGCAGTTATTTCGAAATTTGAATGTGGCCACACTCAAGTACCCTTTCCAAACTTTGCATGCATGAAAATATTATATATAGGCACCTTCATGCAAAATATCCTAGAGGTACTCGAGTGTGGCCAATATGAATTTTACATTTTATGAATGTTGAGCTTTCAGAAATCGAAGCAAGATCCTCCATTTCAGTAGTAATTATATGTTCATTATATGCGTAAATACCCTAAATTAGTTATTAGTATATCAGATTTTTTCTTGATAATTATATAATCCCATATTTGTCAATAATTTTGTGATAGAAAATCTTAAATTGTCATTTAATATGTGTTCTTTCATATAAAATTTAAAATTACGCTCTTTTCTTTCATGCTTACGTACATGATACAATGATGACGTCATAATTTGACCGTGAGGTCTAATGCATCTGAGCAAAAATAATTTGAAGAAGTTTGTCAAAATAATTTTATAATTAGAAAAAGGTGTTGAGAATTGATTTGTGTCGAGTTTCCAATATGTTGCCAGCACTAGATGTTGAACGTAATACTTGTTTTAAATCTTGTTTATAAACATAAAAAAATGCTTAATCCGAAGTTGATATCTAAAATTCATGCAACTCCATGTGTATCCAGGATACATAATAGTTTTATTTGTTAACACACTGATATTTCAATTGAAGAAATATATAGCATTTATGAATATTATGCATTTAAGATTACAGTAAATGTTAGTTAGCTAATATTATTTTAAAACTTGAAGCTCTAAAACGCATGCTCTCTCTCTCTCTCTCTCTCTCTCTCTCTCTCTCTCTCTCTCTCTCTCCACAGCTTTTCCCTTCTTTATTAACCTTTTAGGATGTCTTAGAACTTTTTCTTTGGCATACCTTTAAAAAATAATACGACGCAGATTTTTTTCCCGAACGAAAAAAGAAAGAAAAAAAATTTGTAATCTAATAAATCTGAAATTGAATAACTCGGGATGATCTATCTGCACACGTATACATTATAGAAAAAGTACGTCTCGTAACTACAATAGAAACTGGTCAAATGTGTCCGAAATTATGTAGCATCTGAATGCATTTTGAGGTAAATACCGAGGTTACCCGATTAAAATAAAAAGGTGTCAAATGTGTCCGAAATTCTGTAACATATCTGAATGCATTTTCAGGGAAATACCTAGGTTATCCGATTAAAATAAAAAGGTGTCAAATGTGTCCGAAATTCTGTAGCATCTGAATGCATTTTCAGGGAAATACCGAGGTTATCCGATTAAAATAAAAAGGTGTCAGACTCACGATTTGTACACATTTAATGAATAAAAATAAACATGGATTTTGAACCCTAATGTATCTTCTAGTAGTAATTGGTTTGCCTTGCGGCTTTCTCAATCACATCTAGTGATCAGACATAACATGGATCGGACATATTACTGTTTTATCTACAGATAGAAGAAAATATCTGTATTAGTGATGTAAAGCGTTACTTGGGGAAGACAATTATTAAAAATAAGTGATAAAAAAAATTAAGCTTTCATTTTCACTCCATTTTATATACATAACACCTAGGCCTATATATCTCAGTACAGTGAATGCTAATTGGGACATATTGTTACTTAGGATGCCCCTCCACCATGACTGGTACACTGTAGTTATATTGGTTTCGCTTCAAATATATATATATATATATATATAAACTGTGGCAATGTAGTGATTTTCACGGATAAAGGAGCAGGAAGAGGAAAAAAAACGGCGATAAAAAATCTCGTGGAAAAGTAGAGAAAATGGTCGAAATATAATTCGTCCCATTCCCGGGTACATGTAGTACTATTCTAACCATGCTGAGTGTGCATGGCGATTTTAAATATTTTTACGTACAAACGAGTCTCAGTTTAATATTGGAGACAAGCAACAATCCTTTGTTGATTAAAATACTTAATTTTTTCAACAATAAACATAGGCGCAGATTTTTTTTAATGCAGTGCACAGTAATATAATTTAAGATTAAAGAATTAAAACGCATGTCTGACGTCACCCCCCCCCCCCCCCCCCCCAAGACAAAATAGAAGTGATAGCGATATAGAACATGAGAATTAAAAATACACTGTATAATTTTGCAGAAAGGAAAAGATACATACCTGATAGAAAAAAATTCTAAATCCAAATACGTATGATATCAATATTAAATAGCGGACTATGACATACCTAGTAATATAGCTAGAAAAACTCAAATTTAGGGCTACAATCTATATATACTCATCTTTCAAATCAAAATCATGTTACTTGCACCCCCCCCCCTTTTTTTTCTTTAAAACTTCAAGAATTGTGCAAGACATATATTTCATTGTCAAAATGCACGAATAATCGGGGGTCATCACATAGACAAAAACATATGTACCCACTTTGATAATTCTATTTCGTTATAATAGGCCAAGATTCTTGTTTAGGAAAAAGATTTAACCATTACTGCGCCGGGCGTCACTTTATATTTCCCCTGTCACAAAATTTGAAAACTTTTCAGAATTTATTACATGTATATCAGATAATAATTATGTCATATAATGCAGTGACATGTGTCTAGAGTATTAAATACTTTTAAAACTACATATTTAGATAGAGAACTATTGTAACGCTCGGGTGTACAAAAGTAAGCAGTTAATGTTGAATGTTCTATATAGCAAAGGACTTTTTACGATGTTATGACGTTACGTTACAAATAATGACGTTCCTCGTGTAAATTTCATTCAAAACAATGCCATACTGTCATATCTCTTCTTGAAAAAGTATCATAGATATCTAAAAAAGGAAAACAGTTATGAAAAGCTACAAGTCTACACCATCTTTATTGAAATTCTCATTGATTTTTTAGTTAAGGCGTATTTCGATGGTTCGTGGCTTTAGCTCTTTGAGGTTTAGAATGTATATTTAACACATTTCACAAAATCCATATTGTATATAAGCAAGTTACACAAAATCAGTGAAACGGCTATAAATTTTTAACTTATTTTTAAATTCCTGCTTATCCCCAAAGTGAACTATCGCGATTAGTTAAGCTTTTATGAAAAAGTTGAAATGTTTCGCCGAAAAACATGGCTC